GGATGATATTGTATTACTTGCAAAATTAAATTCCATTCAGGATTTATTTAACAGAGAGAGGAGACGAGATTAATTTGATCCACAGAGAGCGCATAGTTGAAGTTCGCAGAGAGACCTTTATCAAGGCTTTCAAGCAGAATTAACTAAACAAGGGTGCTTTAATATAAATGACCCGTCGGTCGAATTCGGTCAACTACGGCAATTTCGTTCGCCAGCTTATATCATTTAACACTGTCTTCACATAAAATATACTTCACCTTTTCAGAAATTAAATTCTTTCTCTTTTATTGTATATACTCTGTACATATTTCAGTTTTTTCACAATAAATCGGTAGTTCATCAATAAGAATATTGGGGGAAAATTAACTTAAAGATAAAAGATAAAGTTTTCATTTATCAAAGTTGATCATGGAACATCTATTCGTAATTGATATATTCTCGTAACTGATTAATGTCAGTAATAAATGATCGATTTCGTGGAAAACTGTAAAGTAATATCCATGTTCCTGGATTCGTCTTTTAGTTTCTCTTACATAATTATTTCTCAATTAGTTAGACAGCGGTCGGCCTCATATTTCACACTTTGTATTTGGAAGTTTGGATTCGAGCAGTTTGCTTAGAACGGAACTTACTCCCTCTTTATTAAAGACCTTAGACTACATCTTAGGTACTATATTTTCAGCTTATACTTTATCGAATACTGACAACCATAAATTGCCATAAAGAACTCATCGGACATTTTTCCACACAGTTAAACTTCGACTCTCTTAAATTTACATAATTAATTAAAGCTTTCCTTAATTCTAAATGAAAGGTTAAATATTTAAGTATGAAAGTAGATGCGTATCATTCAACGCTTATAGACTATCCATAACACGAACTATCGATAATTTAAAAATTATGCTACTAATAAAGAAGCTCATTCCGAGCGAACTCTTTAATTTATTACGGAACTTCTTCGTCGCTTTACTCAGCGTTTTCCTCGAAGACTTTTTCGTCACGTACCTACCCTCCTCCATCGAACTACCAATCAATATCTGAACGCTGATTAAACCATTCATTTAGTCGGCTATCGTTTTAACGCTCTTTTAATGCTCCTGCCATTTTTTCTATTTCTACATGCCGATATTACGGCCCTTCAGCCTCGATTTTAATTTAAAAGGAAATAGCTAATACACTACACAAAAAAAGTTATGACATCACTTTTATATATAGAAAATTCCAAATTAGATTCTAAAAAGGAATTTCTTACAAAATCTCTTCAGCTTATATGGGATTTATCAGCGCAAATAGCCAACAGGATACCAATGTAAATATTACGCAACAAGTCGTCGCAGACATGTACGTTATTTACAGACGTATGTATGTATGTATGTATCTGGGTAAACATCGTGTCCCTTGAAAATTCTTTTGAGGGCTCGCGTCTCTATTAATAATGCATTTGTGTCTCTTGCTGCAAACGAACATCTCGGCTTTTGTCGGAGTCACGTTCATAATGCATGGCAAGTTACGTAATACATATTAAAGAACTAAGGAAACCGTTGAACGATGTGAAATATGGAATCCCTTAAGAAGGTCGAACAAAGCTCGCTGTTGCTCGCCGGGCAACAATATCGATTATATAGAAGAAGAATGAAGATTGACGGTGTAGGAAACCATACAAAATAGGGTAAACAAAGAGAAGCAACTTTAAGTTAAGTAAAAATGTCCTTAAGTATTTTAATGCATTCACCATATTTTTTTTTAAATCACATTAGACAATGACGATATGGTAAAATTATACTGTTTGAGTGATACAAAATG